GCCGCGCCCCGCCCCACCCGCCCACACCCCTCAACGCAGAGCGCAACCCCGAGCTTTCCTCATGGTCAGACACTCTGTTTTTCTCGGCTATCAACGCCCTTTACGACGCGGCGATCGCTAACGCGGTCGCGAGCGTGGGGCGCGCCTACGTCGACACCGCCGTGCGGCTGGCGCTGCTGCTGAGCCCCGTGGTGGGTTTTGGGGTGACAACGGCAGGCGGGCAGACAGGGGTCTGCTGCGCCCCGCGGCGGTAAGTTTTGCCCTGCTGGCACGGTAAACTGAGGGCTGCTCGGGGCTGCGCGCGGGGGCCGTGCTGTAGCCCAAAATGATGCTGACTAGGCGGCGCTGCTTGTCCTGTTTTGCACTCCAGAGCGTGTCGGTGGATCCAAGGGCGGCCATCATTCAGGCGTATCAGGCAAGTGTGTGAATACTTCAGCGTTGCGCCAGCTGGCTCTCGATGCGGCTGTGCACATGCATGCAAGCCAGCGGCGGCGCAGTCCCGCAGTCTCCTTGAATGGCGCGATCCCCCTGTCTGCCGTGCCAGACCCTGTGCGCGCCACCCCGCGCCCTAGCCCCACGGATTGTTTTGCGACCTGCACGGGCTGGCAAATAGAGCCGCCGGCGCCGCCTGAATCTCACCAGGCTCCTCGATGCTGCAACACCGCACCCAAATCCCCGATCTCCCTCCTCGCCTCGCCCCCAACAGCTCATCATTGATGTGGGGCGCTCCATCCTGCGCGCCCTGGAGGAGCCGCCTTTTCTGGTGAGAGGGGGAGGGGGCGATCACACTCTCAACGCGGGTCATGAGTCCGGCCAGGACACGAGAAGCGTGCCGCCTGGCGGCACGCCGCTGCGCTTTAGTCAGGGGCGGGTCGGCGGACAAGCTCGCGACGACGAGGTGCTCGGCAAACGGGTGACTGAGGTCGCAACCGCCGCTGGCCCGGGGCCGCCTGGCCACCCCACCATGTTTCGCCCCGGGGCGGCAGCTGCGCAGTCTTGGAGTTTGGGTGCGCAAGATTTCTCTGGGCTGCGGTTGTGCGCCTGCGCAGCGTGCCTCCTGGCCCCCACACCCCGTGTGCCCAGCAGTTTCATTGCCTGGTATGGGACCACGCCGAACCACACACGCGCACACGCACCGTCAGCAGCGTTCACAACAACATATACACATCCACCCTCCCAATCATCATCCCGCCTCCCACGATTGCTCTAATCAAACCCACACGCCCTTGCCTCCTCCCTCACGCGCCCAACACCAGCGCCCGCCCGCCCTGCACACCTCCGCCCCCACCCCCAATCCAGGTTGATGGGGACTTGAATAACAACGCGTCCGCCCTCTTCGCGTTTTTTGACGAAACCATTGTGATCCTAAGGGACGGGCTGCTGCGCGTAGCAAACGCGACCGAGGCCCGCGCGGGCGAGGCCGCCGCCGGCATCCAAGCATCGGCCGAGGCGATCGTGGCCGCCGCAGGTGCGTGTGTAGGCTGGGCGCCACCTGCTGTGCTGAGAGGTGCCGAAGGTGCCTGTGGTATTGGGCCCTGAAGCGCGCGAGTGGCAGCAGCACCATCCACAAGTTGTCTACACGCTCGTTTTCAATGCACCTCACTGCAAACACCACGGGCACGAGGCGTACGTCAACCATCCACGATCGCCCTTCCTTACAGAGGGCTCAGCAGACTCCATGGCCCAGCAGCTGGAGTCCCTCGCCCCCGGCCTGGCCGGCCTGCTCAGGCAGGGCGCCGACGCCGGCGCGGGCGTTGTGGAGCGCCTGCGGGAGGCGGCCCTCGACGCCAACTCTGTGTTCTCCCGCGCCCAGGAGGAGTGCAAGGTAATCGCCGACTTGCTGTGATCTGGCGGGGCTGGCAAGCCGTGAATCAGGCATGGACGGTGGGCCTTCTGGGGCGTATTAGGGTGGCCAAAACCTTCCAGTGCTTTGAGTAGGGCCCATAGTAGCCAGGGTTGGTGTTTGGACAAGCAGAGCGCGTCAATTGACCGCGTGTTGGCCGCCCAATCACGCAGCGGCGCCCAACGGCCCCCGGTTCCCGCGAATGCTATCATCAAACACCTGAGAGCACAGGTCCTGGGTGCCGAGTTTGAAAAGGTTGTCAACCACACGTCAGAGGTGCTGCAGGAGGCAGCAGCCGCCCTGGCGACCTCACTGACCAACATTCAGGTGCGGCCAGCCACGGCCAAACGCGCAGAGTCGCAACGGCCCCGTCTCTGCTTGAGGGGGCCTCTTAAGATGGCCGTGGACCAACAACGCATTGCCGCGCACCAGCGTCACTCTCCGTCCATCATTAGCCTGTGTCCGCCTTTGAATGTTGGCGCGGCGCCGCAAAGCTGCGCTGTCAATGCCTCGTAATTCAGGTCGCGGTGGACGCCGTGGTGCCTGGACCGCCCCTGGAAACGGTCATCGCAGAAGCAAGGTGGGGACACAGGGTTTTGGGCTTTCTGAATTGAATTCAGGCTGTCCGCGAGGTGATGGACGGGGCGATGCTGCACCTCAGGCTGCCGTCGCTGGTCTGGGATGCTTGTGCCACTGCGCATTGCAATACTCACTTTCCATGCCCGCAACGAAGGCGCCGCCGAACTTTGACGCCCAACGGGCGGTTGGTGCAGGCCTTGCCCTCAGTTCACCAGCATGGCACCGCCAATGGTCGCACGTCCCCGAACCGCAGGAACGCATCCCGACAGGCAATCCAAAACGCGCGCGAGCGCTTGCAGGCCGTCCTGCCCTTTGCCAGCGTCGACGCCGCCGTGTCGTCGCTGGCCGACGCGGCCGACGCCGCCGTCGCGTCGGTCGAGGCGGTCGCCATGCAGCGCGTCGCCGCCGACGGCGGGGCGGTGGACGATCTGGCCGCCGGGATCGAGGGTCTCACGGCGCGTATCAAGAATGCACAGGAAGCGATGGCGGAGTTTGCGGACAGTGCAGAGGGGGCGTTCCCAGGGCGCCTGGCTAACGTCACCCTGGGTCTGGTCAGGACACAGGTGAGTGTGGTTGTCAGGGCGGGGAAGGCGAGGCAGAAGCACCGCCGCCCTTGCCTCGACAGATTTTGGCAGGCAGGCCTTCTGCGCGTCGGGTCGCACGAACTGGTCTGCCCTGTGGTCGCAATCAACAGATTCATGTTGCCCTCGTTCACGTGTTCGCGGGTACGTCCAACTCAAACCGCACCCACACCCCGCAACACCCCACATACAGTCGGAGCGCGCCGCCGACCGCATATCCTCCCTGGCGGGCGCCCTCCTCTCGGCCGCCCCGGGACTGGACCCCGCCACGCTCGCGCCCGCCCTCGAGTCCGCAGTGGACCAGCTGCTATCAGACGTCACCGCCGGCACCGGGCCCCTCGCCGCCGCCGCGCCGGCAAACGTGACGTCCCGCGTGGCGCAGGCGCTGCCTGCGGCGGTCAACGCGGCCACGGCTGCCTTAAATGACGCTGCAGCAGCAGCGGCGGCGGCGGCGGAAGCAGCTAGGGCACGCACTGTGGCGCCGGTTGCGGGGACTTCTGTGAATCAAGGGCAGGGCGGCGCGGCGAGTACGCTGCAGGATCTGGCGGCGAGGCTCAGATCTGGGGTTGGGCGGGCGCAGGCGGCACTATCTCAGGGCCCGTTGGTTGCGATTGTGCAGGCGCTGGACGGCGCAGAGGCTGACGTCAAGGTGGGCGGTCGGAACGGGCACATTTTTTAGGGTTCAGGGTTGAGTATGACTTATGTTTCAGGGCTCCCCTCAGAAATAGTATATGCAAGCTTCAAAGCATCGCCAGGCTGATATGACTATCTTCAAGCCGACGTGCATACAGCGAAACCATCAACGCTAAACTTGCGGCATGCAGGGAGACTGCTGACCACCGCACGTCCCCTCACCCTCGGCCCAGGCATCTGACGGCGGTGTTGTAAGCCAGAACAGTGGGCTGGCCGCCTTCAGCAGCGCTGTCGACGCTGCGCGGCAGGCCGCGGTGGACGCGCTGGCCGCCGGGCGCAGCGGACTGCTCAACGCATTTGACCGCGCCTCGGCGCGTTTGACATCGGCGCTGGGCGCGGTGGACGGGAAGCTCGCAGGATTGCTGCACGCGCCGGCAGACGGCGGGCAGCAGCAAAGCAGCCGCGTGTTTAGCGGCCCAGGGGCGAGCGCGGGCGCAAAGGGGGGTGGGGTTGGAGCGGCTGCTGCGCAGGCGCGCGGGCGCCTGGCAGCTGCTGTGGCGCAGTTGCCGATGGTATAAGTGTAAGCGGTGTGCGTCATGTGTCGTATGATTGCACCCCTCTCATGCACACGCACGCTGTAACATGGGCCCACGCTGCACTTC